ACCTGGTTCCGGCTGGCCTTAAATGTGATTCAGCATCCACTCAATGTGGACATACTATTTCAAAAAAGCTATTTCAAAATTTATTTTGTGTGTAGACGTGTTATTTTGAAATAAGCTATTTCGAAATAATGCTGTAGTGTAGACATACCCAAGGATTAATTTATGAGATTCTGATTTAAACATAACCTTGCATTAGTTTGTTCTATCTACTTTTTAAATTTAATTTGGAAATAAAACCGTGCATGTCCTTTAGATGTCTAGGTCATATGACCTCAATATAAGCAGTGATCCCTTTATATTATAGCATAATAAAAAGAATGTTGCAAATTCTGAAGTTATGTTATCTGGTTGTCAGATACAATGTGGCTGCATCTAGACTGGCAAGTTTTTTTCTGCTTTTGCGGTAAAGCTTGCCAGCTGTCTACACTGGTCGCTTGAATTTGTGCAAGAACACTGACGATCTAATGTAAGATTGTCAGTGTTCTTGTGCAAATACTATGATGCTCCCGCTCAGGGATAAGCCCTCTTGTGCAAATGTATTTGCGCAAAAGGGCCAGTGTAGACAGGGGAGGACTGTTTTGCTCAAAAAAGCCCCAATGGCGAAAATGGCGATTGGGGCTTTCTTGCACAAAACTGCGTCTAGATTGGCACGGGTGCTTTTCCGCAAAAAGTGCTTTTGCGGAAAAGCATCTGTGCCAATCTAGACGCTCTTTTCCACAAATGCTTTTAACGGAAAAACTTTTCTGTTAAAAGCATTTGCGGAAAATCATTCCAGTCTAGACTCAGCCTGTCAGAATGATTTTAAGCTTTTAGTTATGTTTTAGCTGCAGGACCTAGCAGGTAAACAAAGGAAAGAACTATTTATTTTGAGATCTCAGGAAGCTTTGTGTGTGTTTGTAGTGAAAGCTAGAAAGCCCAAGTACAGTAAAACTCTCTTCTCTAATGATGCTGTTATCTGTTATGCAGATAAATCATTTCAGTTCTGAAATAGGACATACTGAGTGTGATAGAAGTGATTTTGTTAGTACTACAGGTTGGACCTCCCTTGTCCAACTCCCTTGGGACCTGATTGGCCCTGGATGGGTGATTTTGCCAGACCAGGGAAGGTCTGGAGGGAACGGGGTGCCAGCATTTCTGCTGGGCTTCTCTCTCCAGCTATCTGCCATTGCTTCCCCAGCCCCCTGGCTGTGGAAGAGGCCTGCAGGTTCTGCAGCCCCACAAGCTCCAGTGGCAGCTCTACAGGTGCTCACGGCCCCACCAGCTGTGAACTTGGCAATCCCCTTCTTCTTGGCGCCACTGGCTGAGGGCGTGGCGACCCACACCCTACCCTGCAGACTCCAGCTGCGAGCTCTGCTGCCCCCTCTGGCTTCTCAGCCCAGATGGCTGCAGGCTCTGGTGCCCTGCCAGTCCCACCGGCCAGCTCTGCTCCCAGCCACAGTCTCTAAACCTTCTGGAACATGGATTTTTCCAGACTAGAGAGTCCCGGGCTACAGAGCTTCAATTTGTAGCAGTAATACTGAGGTAGCATTTGTAGTCTATAGCTGAGATCGGAGTCCCATTGTGCAAGTGGCTATGCAAGCACCCAGTAAGAGTAATACGGTGTGAGAGCAAACTGCTACTGTCCTTGTGGATTATCCCCAAGCCATCTTGCTAATAGAGCACATGATGGTTCCAGCAGGTGTAGTGTTGCAGGTTCATTTTACTTTCTCTCCAAAATTTAAGCAATGTGCACCCCATCCTAATGAATCGTACTTGTGGAGGGTTGGATTCTGTCCATAACTTCTAACCAACACTTCAGGCAAAACTCTGCTCCTGGAGCCGTGTACTGCAGCCAGGCGTGTAATAAGTCTCCTTGCCTGAGATTTAAAAATATAGTTATGTGGGAGTTTTAGCTCGTTTGTGGAAAAGACCCAGAATTGCCAGGATATGTGTGGTGGGGAGAGGGCAGTTGGTTGATTGGTTGGTTTATTTAGAGGGCACAATTTCTGCTCCACAAAATTCTGTAGGATTGAAAAAAAAATGTATAAAAATTAGTTCATTTAATATTAAATCCTCTAGAACCTCATTGCATTTTATAGGTCTCTGATGATATCATCTCTGTTAAAATCTGAATTTTTCCATAAGGGCTGAGCATGTGTCCATTTCAGTCTTCTTGACAACCTGGATTAAATTATTAATTCAAAATATGTTTGTATGTAAATTACCTATTGGATTTATGGATATTTCAGAGTTTCAGAGGTAGTGTAAATCATGCAATGTCAGACTTTATTTAATATGTTCAGTTATCACAAGTTATGCTTGCCAACATTTTACTTGGAAAGTTTACATCAAAAAGAAGGAAACTCATTCATCTCAAATGTCAGGATTCCAAGACTTCTAGTAGGGTCACTTAATAAATGATGCATTATTTTCAGTGGAGCTATGCTATCATTGTAACGGTTATCTCATGTTTTCCTTTTTGTGATAAGCTTTTTGGGAAAAGACTTCAGAGGCTGAAAAACACTAAGTTCTGTTTTTGTGCATGCTAAATTTCTAAATAATAAAACAGCTGATGCCAACATGGCATGGAATTGATTGCATCAAAATGAGAAAAAACAACTTTTAAAACAGGTGTTTCTATTTTGCCTTTGTAGAGCTCCATAAATTACATTAATGAAGCACATATTCCTGTTAAAATTATGCATTGATTTAGTATATACAAGAAACATCAATTTATATTTAAAAGGTCAAATTCACTGTATTTTAGTTAAGGGATTTAATTAAGCCAAAATAGAAATCCATCTAAAAATATGTGCTTTAACTACAATTAGTCCAAAGTATATTAGTAGTGCTGGTGGGGCAAGGAGTGGAAAGAGAAAGTTAAAAATTCTGTCAAAATCTTTAGTGGTTTATGATATACATTTTTCTCTCTGTCCTGGCAGAACAAAAGCTTGCCCTTACTCCAGCAACTGGCAAAAAGTAGCAAATAGGACTGTACCAATACTTTTCTGACTGGATATCTGGAACATCATTGCTAGGCAAGATATCACACATGAAGCAACAAGAGACTTGTGTGCTACTTAGTACCCTTGTGTAATTTACTCACAGAGTCTATCAAGAGAAGCATAGCAATTGTCAAATCATTTATGGATTCTATGCCTGGCTAGAATACCACTAACCTTTTTTTAGATACATTCATTAGCCCTCATGTCATGAGCTCTTGTCAAGATGTATTGCAACCTCAGTGGTCAAACATGAGGTTCTTTTTCATGAGGGAGTGATACTTCTTCTGTACACAAATAAAACATTCATGACTTTCCTAAACCTTCTACCCCCACACATGAATACCACATGGTTGGTTTTAGGCTAAAATTCAATCTATCCAGAATTTACATTAAACTGTCATTCTCTAGAGATATGTTCATTTAGATATATGCTTTTCCTTGGATTTATAGCCATTCAGATCAACTGCAAAATACTGTTTTCACTTTTTTTTTGTTTCTTTTTAAGGTGCAGGTAAGTGCAATACAAAGCTCTGATCCTGCAAATATTTAAGACCATACATAGTTTCCTCTTATGAATTATCTTATTGATTTTTTTTGATTACTCATGGGTGTAAAGGTGCAGCTACACAGCACCCTAATATCAAAATAAAATATGCAATTTGCGCTATGCAAATTGCATATCTTATCTCGAATCTATTTCAAAATAGCTTATTTTGAAATTAGGTGCATCTACACAGCACCAAATTTCAAAATAATGCGCTATTTTGAACCATCCCTTATCCCTTGTGCAACTAGGTTTACCGGGATGGTGAAATAGCATGCCCGTTATTTCAAAAAATGTTTCAAAATAACAGGTGGGTTGTGTAGATGTGGGGTAGCTATTTTGAGATACCTCTAGTATCCCGAAAGAGCCATGCAGTGTAGATGTATCCTAAGGCTGTGTCCAGACTCAGGGGTTTTTTCGAAAAAAGTAGCCTTTTTTTTGAAAAAACTTCACTTGCGTCTAGATTGTAGCCGCGTTCTTTCGAAATTAAATCGAAAGAACGCGGCTTTTCTTTCGACGGCGGTAAACCTCATTTCACGAGGAAGAACGCCTTTTTTCGAAAGTGCTCTTTCGAAAAAAGGCGTTCTTGAAAGCAAACAGGGCTTTTTAGAAAGAGAGCATCCAGACTCACTTGCTGCTTTCTTTCGAAAAAGCGGCTTGCTTTTTTGAAAGTTCCGCGTGCAGTCTAGACGCTCTCTTTCGAAAGAGGCTTGCAGTCTAGACATAGCCTAAGAGTTTAAATCTTTCGAAAGAGGCTTGCAGTCTAGACATAGCCTAAGTGTTTGCAGATTAGGGCCCATGTATAATTCTTTTATACATTTATTTTCATTTTAATTCAAAACCTGAACATTAAAGGGGGCAAAATACAGGTTTTGAGGTCTTCTTCTCAATGTAAAATAATCCTGTTTAAGTAACTTCACAATCTGTGCATTGCATTACATTTTTTGTTTAAAAATGAGTTTTGTATAATGTTTAAAATGTGTTTCCATATTAGCATTGTGATTTCTTGGTATTGGGGAATGGTATGATATAATGAATTATCGGTTAGACAACTGATATTCAAAAAAGCTTCTTTATTTTTCCACTAAGCATGTTCTGAAACATCTGAACATAATGTAAAAAATACCTATATTTTGGGGCTAAACTTTTTAATCCTTTACGCTTCTAATTTCTACTTTAATTTGAACACAGACAACTCCTCTTTAAGTCAATGGGTGTTCCACATGTAGAATTTGATTCACAGGAAGATATATAAGATAAAAAGATTATGTATTTAGGACCATGAGCCTATGAGTTTATGTGCATGCTTAATTTTAGGTGCCTGATTGGTTGCATTGAGTTAAAATTGGTTCCTTAGTGAGGCTGGGGTTTCTATTTTCTTTTTATTCCAAGGATTTCCTTAAATTGTTAACAAAATGCTATATTCCTAGAGAGACTTTATCTACAAAATGTACTATTTCTTTGTTTTAAAGACACCCTTTTTAATGGTCTTGGGCTCGGTGCTGTCATTGGCCTAGGAGTAGCAGCCCTTTTGTTAATCCTTGTTGTGACTGATGTCAGCTGCTTCTTCGTACGGCAATGTGGATTACTAATGTGCATCACCAGGAGAATTTGTGGGAAAAAGAGTGGCTCCAGTGGGAAGAGTAAAGAACTAGAAGAAGGCAAAGCTGCATATCTGTGAGTATAAATAATATGTCTTAGGAAGATGCATAAAATTTTTTTTTGCCTGCAGAACTTGTGTGTACAATCTCGGTGTTATGTTTGTGATATGACAAAAGACATGCTTCAGAAGTGATTTTTACTACATGGGACAATAAATGAATCTTGATATCATCTTGATGTTTGCACTGTAAGGAAATAGTGGTGGAACATCAGATGTATTGCAATTGATAGCAAATATTGCTTTTTTTAAAGGCAACTTCTGTGCATCATTTTTAGATTCCCTGTTTTGTGTCTTTAAACTATTCTGCCACAAGAGGGACCATGTTCTGAGTGATTAATGTACATAGGAACACCTTTTCACCAAGAGCCACTGACTTTCCACACACACTCTGCTCGTCCTGGAGCTCCTAATGCCAAAATTGTGGCTCCTTGGCTATGTCTAGACTGCAGAATTTTTCCGGGATATCAGAGGTATCATGGAAAAACTCTTCTGCGTCCAGGGAATGCATCCACTTTTTCGGAACAGTTCAAAAAAAGTGGGCACATTCTTTCGGCATCCCTGTATTCCTCATTTTATGAGAAATAAAGGATGTTCTGAAAGAGGAGGTTTTTCCAACATTTGGCCACGTGTAAAAACAAGCAGAAAAAGATCCACAAATTGTACATCCTCTGATCCTGGTGTCCATATATAGCATCAGGAAAAGACAAAGGGCATGCTGGTTTGCTGTGACATATGTGAAGGAACATTCTGTCTTAACAACTAGGGCTAATTCTAGAAAATCTGACTAGCTGCTACCATTGATTTTTGACATTATGCCTTTAGTGAGCATTTAAAAAAAGCAGAAAGGAGGAAAAAAAGGTGTTAGATGTTGTCAAGGCTGTTCCTTACTCTGGCACTCTGAGTGCAGAAGGAGAGGGCCTGCATGAGATCTTAAAAATCCTTGTCTTTATAGGCTCCTGATTAAAACTCCCAAAGGTTGCAGATCCTCTGGCCTTGGGAGGTAGCTGTCAACATCAAGTGGAACAAAAGAAAACACCTTTCTTCCTGAACCTAGGAAGAAAGCACTTGGACTTCTTCCGGAGGGATATCCCCAAGCTCTTTTACTGCAAGAGATGTGGGAATAAAAAGAGAAAACAAATTGGATTCTCTGAGAGCTGACCTCTCAGTCTTAGGCATGCATACACAGACCTCCTGTTACCTTCGGGGGCAAAATAATCAAATCACTGCCTTAAAGTTGATTTTATTAACACAACAAAAAGATATACTTGATAAACATATTTGGTTGCTAGGTATTACAGAGCAACCAAGAAAACAGATTAAAACACAGAGAAATAGTATTTTCTCTGGCAGCAGCTTAAAATACAATGTGTGTAGGGGGCACATGGACTTAGTACAGAAAAGTGCAACCAAACTGCAAAACAAAAATGTAACCTGATCATGACAAAATAGACATTTTCCTATCTATCTACAATCCATACTTCAAGGGCCAGTCCATGCCCATGCCCATGCCCAGTATTCCTTGTAGGCACGGTAGTTCTGTCCAGTTCAATTCTTCTTGTTTCCCCAGCTCCAAGCTTAAAACTCACACAAAGAAAACAGCAGGCAGGTATATCTTCCAATTCAAATTTCAACACCATTTTTCATTGGCTCTCCTGGCTCCCTGCCAATACTCCCTGCCTACCTGAGTTTAACCTGCTTCTTCAGAAAGCTCATGATACTGTCTACATGTTTTGTTAGTCTGTAAGGTTCTGCTAGACTATTTGTTGTTTTTTTTAAAGTATTTTCCAGTTACAGACTAACTTGGCTACCCCTCTAAAGCTTTTGAGTTTAACGCTTTAGTCGTTGAATGCTGGCTAGCACTCCTCTTATCATAGATGTTATGAAAAGCACATAGTTGAACTATAAATTAATAAAAAGTGGGACTTTACTGTAATGGCTACTGCAAATACTTGCTAAAAATAAAATTAGTGACTAAGAAAAAACAGAATACCAGGTCCGATGGAGGGAAAAAGCCTTATTCATTGGATGTATAGAAAGAACAGTTCATTTATGTGGAAGGAAATGTCCTTTAATGCTGAGAGATCAATAAGAACTATGGAAGTCCAACTGAGTAATTTCATGTCATATAAGTCAAAATTACTTTGTGTTTCAATTTTTTTTACAAAGTTTTCAAAGCATTTGAAGGAGATAATACTGACCTTGCTCCCATTTTTAAAATGTTTTCCTCCCTTGTATTTTAGATCTGAAAGTTTTCCTTCTCAACCATGCCCACCTAGCATAATTCAATAGACATGTAAAAAAATCTACAAGAATACCATCTGTATGTGGCTTACAATAAGAGGCAGGGATAGCATCATTTTTTCTATTAATAATACAATCTTCAGATTCAATAGATAAAGAGAGAACAGAGCTCTTAGGCTCAAATTTAGCAATCCATCCCTATTCAACAAAGCTCTTAGGCATGTGGATAAGTACTTGGCTAAATGGGGATAGATTTAAGTCTGTGCTTAGGTAATATCCTGAATCAGGACATTAGTGTGCTGAAGTTTCAAATGTTTCACTGATAAGCATTTTATATCTAGCTAGCAAACACAGGTTCATTTTGATCAGTCAGTATCTGATTTACCAACAATATAAAGCTTCAAGAAAACACAAAGCTGACCACTAAGCACATATAGAAAGAGATTTCTTTTAGGATTACATCTAGACCCTTTTCTGGTAGGCATGATGTCTTATTTATTTACATTCCTTTTTTTTCCCTTGGGATGGTTTTGGTAAATGCTAGTCTCTTTTGACTAAGATCATGTGTTGTTTTATGATCCCAGGAAGGCAACAGTCCTACAGCCTTATTTCAGCATGTTTCAAAACATCATATATTGTGTAATGCAGGCTAGTCTAGCATTTCCAGACAATCCTGAGCTATCTCAGTTTTCATGAATTGCATCTTAAATAGATATCTTAAAATAAAGCATTGGATACTTGCATATTTTTAGTGGAATGAGTAGAACTCTCAATTTATCTTTAATTACATTTGATTTCTGAGAAATGTATCACCTAGAATTATGTTCCATATGTTGTACTGATTGTAGAAATATAGTGCATGACGAATTTATGCAACACCTAAAATAAAACTAAAGTAAGGTGTTTCCAGCAACTAGAATTTTCTTCTTATTTTTTCCTGCATGGTGCATATAAATACTCTATAAATGAAGAGCACATTCTATGTGCATTCTGCTTTCTGATAAAATAATATTTTCTAGGATTTTGGATATATATTTTTGTTGGAAATAAGATTCTAAATATAATATCCTTCGCCATTCTCATTATGATCAATAATTGTTGCACACTTGAAGTAGGCCTTCTTCTAACATGCGCCTATATGAAAAGGTTGCTAGTTAGCTAGCTCCTAATTAGCACTCAAATGTTTCCTAAATTGTGCACTTACGGTTGATGCCTTAAAAATAAATGTTTGACTAATTTAAATGCATTGAAAATTATCATTTTCAGAAGTTTATGAACACTGCTTAAGCATCAATTTTACAGATGCCAAAGTGCTGTTGAGTATTATTGTAACACAGAGATCCCTAGCTTCTCAATATGGTCTACAGCCGGGTGGGCAATAACTTTTAAAGGGGGACCACTCCAAGATTTTGGTAAGTGGTCAAGGGCTGTGCTTCTGTAGAGGGATTGTGGGGTCTAGGATGGAAGGTGAGATGTAGAAGGGAGCTTGGGATAGAGGACTGAGATGAAGTGTGGCATCTGAAAGGGAGTTTGGGTGAGGGAGGGGGTTATGATCTGGGACAGAGGCTTGGGGTGAAGGGTCCAGGAGAGGACTCTCGCCTGGAGAAGGGGCATAGGAGGGAGTGCAGGATCTGGGAGGGAGTTGTGACCTGGGGGAAGGGTGCAGAGGGTTTGGATGGTGACGTGGAGCAGGGGAATGAGGTGCAGGGTTGAGGGGGGGTATGTGTGCAGGAAAGGATTGTGGTCTGGGGGAAGAGTGTGGGCGGGTGCAGGAACTGGGGGGGAGTTGTGACCTGGAGGAAGTGGGGAGAGGGAATACAAAGGATTTGGATGGTGGCCTGGGGCAGGTAATTGTGGGGAGAGAGGGGCTGGGGAGCCAAAGGCAGGCTCTGGATAGAAGGTGCTTACCTAGGCAGCACCCAGCCATCAGTTCTGTGGGAACCTGAGCCTCCCAGCCTGTGTGATGGGCAGCTGCTCCATGTAGCTCTGCTCCGGCACAAGGACGGATGGGGGTGAGCGAGGGAGGAGGCTTCATTTGCTGCCCATACCTTCAACAAAATTTATCTGCTTCTATAGGCTGAAAACTGGCCAACAGGAGCTGGGGGATTTTGCTAGGGAGCAGGGACAGCCCGCGAAGCTTTCTCCTCCCTGCCCAGACTGCATAGCTGCTGTAGTAAAGGTGCCAGCAATGAGGCTGCGGGCTGGATCCACCAGCTTGGTGGGCCAAATCCAGCCTGCTAGCCACCTCTTCCCCACCCCTGGTCTATACTTTTTCTTCAACTCCAGTTCCATTGCCTATCTCTCTGTCAGTCTGCATAGCTGTTAGGAGAGAATTACTCTTTCTGAGAATATCTAACCTCTCAGAGTTAGTTAGAGCTCTCCATCTTATTGCAGCTAGGTATGTAAGAACATCTGTAAAGTATAGAAGACTTATATTTTTTATCACAATATAGAAATGAGACATGAGATAATCTAAGACATGTTCCTTGTCATGGGACCCAGTCTAAATTCAGGGAACTAGCAACCAGGCTGAATTGTGGACTACAGCAGGTCTAGAAAACAGATTGCTAAAGATAAGGGATTGCCCACCTATATGTCAGTTGTTCTGGGTTTTCAACATTCAAGTGATTTAAGTTTCTAGGAATCTGATTCAGGATGTGATCTCAAGGAGAGGAAAGGGGGTGATTCTTACTATTTTGGAAGTTTACATTTTTGGGACACTCGTTGTTCTGCCCTTGTAACATAGAAAATTGTGCTAGTTATTAATTATCATAATTTTTTTGTATTGCTGTAGTGATTTGAGGCTGTGATCTTGATTGTGGCCCCATTGTGCTGGACACTGTTACACTGCATAGCAAGCAACAACCCTTGCCACAAATTGCTTACAATTCATTGTCTGATTTTTATGGAAAAAACCCCAATTGTTTAAGAGGTTCATAAACAACAGAACTGTGATATATATATTTCAGAAGCCAGTTTAAATGTTTGCTATGAGCTATTCAAGTCTGATGAGTAGGTCAGATTTTCACTTCACACTAAGCACTCTTTAAATTTCTATGGGAGCTGCGAGAAGCCCTAAAATGGTCACAGCTTTATATTTATACCTACATAAAGGCTCAATATCCTGCCAGAGTGTTGTAAAGGGGCCTTAGAGCAAATGATAGTCAAGCACTGTTTTCCTTGTTGCTTTAGTTAGGTCTGTTGCCAGCAACAAGGTGTCCATTTATTATGAACTCATAAATAAAGTTTCTTTTGAGATTTTATGGCACACATACATGCTTTAGGACCAGATAAGCAGCCACAACAACAGAATACTTTGAAGGTTGTAAGAAATCAGGACTGCAACTGTGGAACGTATTCCAGTGTTAATCATTGGGTCTGATTTTTCTTCTTTGTGAAAAGAAGGCTCACGGTAATTAATAAAGTGTAATGTATTCTGATGCCATAATCATAGAGGTTAAGACTCTGTTAATATTCTTTAGGAAAGATGGATCAAAAGAGCCGATAGTGGAAATGAGAACAGAGGATGAAAGAATTACCAATCATGAAGACGGGAGTCCAGTAAATGAGCCAAATGAAACCACACCACTCACAGAACCTGAGTATGTAATCTGGTATTTCTAAAAGCTTTTCAAAGACGGTGCACTACCAGAATGAGTGGAGTTTCAGCTGTGTGCATGTAAAAAGTAGCACTGATAGCATTATGGGAATGATATGCTGGCACGCTTTGTTTATCCAAGTCTCTTGTTCTAGCAGCGATAGCTACAGGAAGGGGCAAGCATCTCCGTCCCTTTCCTATGCACTTGCCTAACCTACAGCACAACAGAAGCTGCAGGTTGTCCAGTCCCTGCTGCAGGGGTGGGGACAATGTTAATTTTCAGGCCCCTGCCCTTTTTTGTACTGCTTTTGTACTGCCCTTTCTGGCACTGAGGGTAGAAGAAGCTAGGAAAAACCTACAGATCAATTTTAAATGAATGCTGTCTTTCCCAAGCGGCATCCTATTGCTGCTTCTGTGTCCCTTGTAAATATAAGTCTCCTCTGGTTATTCCCATGGCCCATCCCAAACATACTCTGCAGTTGTGTAACTTGGGCTGTGTCCAGACTCAGGGGTTTTTTCGGGAAAAGTAGCCTTTTCCCGAAAAAACTTCCCCTGCGTCCAGACTCAAGCCGCGTTCTTTCGAAATTATTTCGAAAGAACGCGGCTTTTCTTTCGATGGCGGTAAACCTCGTTTCACAAGGAAGAACGCCTTCTTTCGAAAGTTCCTCTTTCGAAAGAAGGCGTTCTTCAATGTAAATAGGGCTTCCTCGAAAGAGAGCATCCAGACTCGCTGGGTGCTCTCTTTCGAAAAAGCAGATTACTCTTTCGAAAGATCCGCCTGCAGTCTAGACGTGATCTTTCGAAAGAGGCTCTTTCGAAAGATGCTTTCGAAAGAGCCTCTTTCGAAAGAAGCCTGCAGTCTAGACATAGCCTTGGAGCCCAGCTGTGTGTTCAAGGTCACTTGCTATAGCTAGCCGGAGAGTGCTCAGGAACAGCTCCTCTGAGTTGCCTACTTACCTCCCCTCAGCTCTATTGCTGGGAGCTGCATGCTGAGGAGCAGCTGAAGGAGATTTCCAAGATGGCTGCAGAAACTGTACACTCTGTAGTGGATTCAGGAAAGTAGGAGCTGTCACAAGGAAATGGAGCCTCCGTGCACCTGTGCCAAAATCCACACACTTCCCCAGATACATAGCAATGAGTAAGGTAATAAAGTCAGGCCAAGTCTGGGGATGTAAGGGAGGAATAGAGAGACAGAGG